TAAAAGGTAAAAACCTTACTCATTGATGATTTTCTTGCCAAAATAGGCAATCTCTGCTTTCTTAAAGAATGCTTTTAGAGAGTTCTACACGTCAATATGTAGAATCTCAAAATTAAGTTAACTAGGTATTTCTCCCGCCTTCCTAGCGTGCCTTCGTGGTGTAGTGTTTCTGCACGCTGGGCCGGTATTCCAGAGGTCCGCGATTCGATTCCCGGCGAAGGCGATTGCTAATTTTTCATTTCTCCGGCCTCCAAAAAAAATCCTAATGTCTCTACAGTGGCGCCCGAACTAAAAGGGTTTTGGATGATGACTCTCCATACCCAGGATTTGACGATTGTCCCCTAAAACCCCAGTCGCCCTTTAAAAGAGGGGAGTATATAAGGTACAGAAAGAGGCGCAGCCCCCCATCCACCTATCGTTTGATTTTGTGACTTCCAGGGGGGCGCCAAGTTAAAAAACCACATAATAAAATACGACCATAGGATATAACCTAGGGACCTTAACGGCACAATAATAATTAAATAAATAGAATGTTAGAAACTAACTAAACAAAAGGACAAAACACAAGACAGACCTGCTCTATCATAAAAAACACTAAACACATGTAAATCAAAATTCCGACTTAACACGATTAGAATAAATTCATTAATTCCCTAGCAAATTCAAATTCGTGTTTTTTCGCCAAATGATAATATGCCAAACTTTGTCTATATCATAGAATCACATTCATTTACAAATTTACTGAACCCGACTCCCCAATTATAACATAATTTTTTTTGTAGACCGAATCTCTTTGGAGTATATAAGGTATTTCTCCCGCCTTCCTAGCGTGCCTTTGTGGTTCTGCACGCTGGGCCGGTGTTCCAGAGGTCAGCGGTTCGATTCCCGGCGAAGGCGTTTGCTCATTTTTCATCTTGCCTGCTTTCAAAAAAAAAAAAAAAATTCTAATGTCTGTACGACACCTACGAAAAGTGTTATTAATCATATCCTCTTTTTGGGGGGGAGGCGCCAAACTATTGATCTAGAAATTTTCAGTTCTCTCTATCATTGTACAGTCTTAATGTAGTGTCATTAGGATATTTGCAAGCAGGAGACGTGTAAAATAAGCACTGCTCTCACCAGGAACTCGAATCTGGACTTCTCAATGCGCCGACTGTGCTAACTGTTACACCACAATGGATGTTGTATAGCTATGCTGGAAGGAGGGAGAAAATACAAATGATTTATTAGGTTGTAAGATTCTGTAAGTAATCAAGAATATGTGATCGATGACTCACACATTCTATATTAAGTAAAAAAAAAGCAAACTTCAAAATTTGCATGGAAACTTTTGGATATAAAAATATGTTATTTGAAATGGAATTAGTAGAGAAAAGCTTTTGTTTTAGTAAAAGCAAAGTGTTATCAATTTTACTATGCAACACAAAGACAAGCATGATTGATATGCACAAAGCATCCTATGATTCTAAGCCTGCAGAGTATCCTATGATGGTATTGACAGTTCAAGAACACTGGCTACTTATATAAAGGCAAGAACCCCAGATGGCCAGTCATTTCCAATGAAACAGTGCAAAAATTTAGTTTCACATATAAATTAGTAACTGAGCTATAGGAAACTTGCATTAGCCCCTTATTAAATTTATATCTAAGCTATAATAGATACAACTTATTCTTTTTGTTTAGACTCAGAAAATGCTGCTGCTGAATCTACACATGCATGTATAATGAATGGTTAACATTCATACCTATTTTTTTAAAACTATTTGAAGAAAGATTTAATTGCAGTTTGTTCACATACAGCTGGTGTGACATTAAGAAGGGAAAAAAAGTAGCTGTAATCAAACTTTTAGATATTTTTCTTAATATTGTAATTTATTACTGTATACTGCTTAGCTTCTTATTTACAGTAGTATCACAAGATTCAGTAAGCAAAACCATTAAAGAAATCATTTTGAAATATTTCTTGATACATTATATGCATTTTCACCAATCAATGAGATTAACCCTCCAAAATCAATGAGATTAACCTGAGACTGGTAATGGTAAACGTATTGAAATATTTAAAAATTGATATTTTGTGATTTATTGGTAAAAGATATTACGTTTTTCTCATTCATATACAATTATTAGTATTTTCTGTTTTTGTAAAAAATATAACAGTTCATTAGAATTGCATAAGTTGTTTATATAGAATAAAATGCAAACTCTTTGTCAAGTTTTTCATAGCTCACCACTGCATGTAATCCACAAACAGGATAGGTCTACAAATTACATTAGTAGCAAATATGTGTTCTATAACCAAACATAGGGAAGATTTTGCAATGTTGATTACAACTAAAACCATATTATTTACAGATGCTGCAATATAAATTTTGCAATCGTATGCATGGAAGACAATTCTTCTTCCACTATCTAGTGGTGAAGCATTTGTTGGATAGGTACGTTTGTGTACTGGACATGGAAAATTGTCATGCTGTTACTGAATAGAAATTATATTTACTTGAACATTTTATATGCCATTTCACTGATAAAGGTACATGGGTCCTTTTTTTCTACAGAAACACTGTAAAAGGTATGTCAGATTTTAATACGTTATAGTTTGTTGTTATTTTCTCTAAATGAAATATGATTCAGAAAAATACACATTTCCTCTCTGAAAACTGTGTACATCATTACCTAATAATAAATTTCTATCTTTTTTTTGGATTGATCAATATCAGAAGATGACTCAATGTTGTTCAGATGACCATGAGATCATTGACCATACACTCCGTAATCTTTTGCTTTTGGAATGTGCTTTAGACTATATTTATATGCTCCTATTGCTAATAATATCAAAACTCCAAGACTGCATTATAGCTCCTTTGATGACCATCAGCAGGGAAATTTTACTATGTTTGTGAATAGAATTGTGATACCCGGTCGATATGTGTCCTGTACCAACAGGAACACACAATGACCTTTATGGTATTATGTCAAATTTGATGAACTTTTATTTCATTTCATGTAGTAATCATTTTTTATCTGTAATATGTTACAGAATAAAACATTTTAAAACTTACAAATCATGTAATATCTGTATATTTATTAATTTCATTGTACTATAGCTCACTGTATGACTCCCTCTTGAATTTTTGTAGTAATTTAATTGATTTGATTAAAAAAACTGCACCAAATCACAAGGCAAAAATAAAATCCAAATATTGTAATCTGTTTTAGCAGAGTGAATGTACCAAGAAAACAGATAATTCACCCATTTAAATTTTCATTCAACTCATTTAAGAAATGAAATACGCTCTTAAGTTTGTGTACGATAATTTTAATATTCAATCCTCATACCTTACCTGATTTCACAAAGTAGTTTCAATCTGAAGTATACATGACTAATCATAATTTATCAACAATTCATATAAAAGAAAATAAAAATAGCAAATTATGTATCATATTAAATACATTTAGTGCAACTTTTTGAGTGACATCTCGTTGTGTAATTACTCATCCGTTTCCAATTCATCAGATCTGTTTTACTTTTCGTTTCGGAACCAGACAGCAAATTTCATTTTGTGAAACCACCAAGTCATTTATCTGAACATGATCAACCATTGACTACTTTTTGAAAATAATAAATAAATAAATAAATAAATAAACTGAAAGCTTTCAGATTTTATATTATGCCCTGAGGGTTTTTTTTTTTTTTTTAACATTTTGTGTTATCTTTATTTATTAAATATCATGTTCTTCACACAATTAAAATTCATTCGAATTCACATACACACATTTAAAAAACATTGTTGCATTTACAATTGATAAATGTTAAAAATGAAATAGATAATAAAACAAATTCCAAATTAGGGCTTCCAGATGCCCATATTCTAATGGAGACATACATTATTCAAAATTTGATGGCCCTAAAACACAGTTGTTTTATCACAACGTGAGAAACATACATACATTTATGCAGATTCTTCATTATTTAACTTCTTTAAATATAATACTCTAATATTTGGTGGCAACAATTGAAAAAGTGATTCACCATTTATAATGAATCAACGCAAAATGCCAAAACAAAATTAATAGCCCTTTCTGGGCAAATTGCCCCTTTGGGCTAAAAAGATTATCTGCAAGAAAGCTGAAAATAAAAAAGCAGGAAGAAAAAATAAAAAAGCAGGAAAAAAAAGATTGGCCCACTTTGAGAACAGTACATGACACTTTAGGAGACATTAATTTTTCCTCCCAAAGACCCATCCTTTAAGGAGTTGGGAAAAAAAAAAAAAAAAAAAAAAAGGGGAGGAAAAATATTTAAAATAGAAAGCAGATATAAAAATGTCAAATTAAGCATAGCAATGCATATCATAAAGATGAGGTAAATAAAGGTACAGTGAGGACTATACATGCTCTGAATAAAAAAGAAAATAATTATTGATAAAATATTGTAAGCGGAAGCTGCAGTATCATTTAATCAGAAGAACAGGCAATTATATAAAGCATCGGTTAGAGTAGACTGAAGGGTACCCCTTGTATTATTGCGAAGATGTTGTTTCATTTATTGCCAAGTTGTTGTTGTTTATTCAAGTTGTTGTTTTATTTTGTTGTAGTTGAATGTTCTGTACATCCGTAAATATACTCAGTCAGTAAATAAAGTCAAGGGAGTGAACAATGCCAAGTTTCTGCAATTCTCTGGTGATTTTTTAAGTGAAAATAGGTCAACGTGTACATGGATAAAGTCAAGGCAGTGCACAATGCCTAGTTTGTGCAATTCTGTGATGTTTTTTTCCATTAACAAATGTATTTGTTATACCAATGTTTTATTATAACTCTCTTGTTCTGATCATAATTTGTAATTTTTCATGTCGCATTTATGTAGGTCAATGTGCACAAACTCGGTATCCATGTGCCGCCAAAAATCACCAATGGGTACTCGTAAATATACTTTTACCAAAACATTCACTGTGCAAGTAGTAATACTTTATTGATTATTATGCCAAAGCATTCAAGACTAGTTGATTTATACATGTATAATGGAGAGAAAATTTATGTGAAGAGGTGCAATTTTATGAAAATTTATGATTAGCATACTTGATATAAAATATAATAATGGCTGATAATAGAACATCACTAATAGCATGTTTTCTTAGATAACCACTCCCATAAAACAAATCTATTTAAGTAAGAGGTTATTCTCTTTGGGAAGTTCGATTGCATTTTCTACAAAAAAGCACACACTGTTTTGCATATCATTACATTCGTCCATATCTGTGTTGATAGCAAAAACTGAATCATAATATTAAATGATGAGAAATATGCCCAAGGAAATTGCAATACAGTTTAACTAATTAAATGGATGTATAATAGAAATATAAAATTGCATGTTTCCACAGGACTTTCATTAAGAAACAGGAGCTAAAAATTCAATAATAGTGGACAGCATGCAGTTGTCATGAAAAATTTCATTCATACACAGTTTATGAGCACTGGGTGAGACAGTTTTGAGGAATAATAAGTAAGAAAGTTTTTCTCATCATCATATTCGAAGACATTTTTTTCATATTTTGTACTTGGATCTGTTTGGGGAAGTGACTGATTTTGCCATCAGTAAAAGTTATCCTGCTTAAAACAGTTTATTATTGTGTTTTCTGAAACATGGTTTCAAGATGCAGAAAATGCACCAAGGAGGTTAGTCCTTATTAATTCATTTGCACTTTCATCCAAATTTTCCACATTATGAAGAATACAATACAGCTCACCTCACGAAGATCATATTCTTTCATCGCTCTATAAAAATTCCTTAATCGCAAACTGGAATAACAGATATCATGTTTTCTGCAAGGAATAAAATTCCAAATTTTCCTCATTATGAAGAATACAGCTCACCTCACGAAGATCATATTCTTTCATTGCTCTATAATAATTCTCTGATCACAAACTTGAATAATAGATATCAATGTTTTTTGCAAGGAATAAAACTTCGGCATACTTTATGGAGTATGTTTTGTGACATGCAGTTGTGAATCAGATCAAAGGTAAAATTCTTTTCATCTTACAGTTTCTAAATTCATTCATTAAAAATTGCTGTCATCATCTACACCATACGTTATTTTTTCCCAATTTCATATTCATCAAGGAAAAAAAAAATCAAATACATTGCAACATTTTGCTCACATTAAATGACATAATAATTACAGCAAACGATGAGTCAATTTCCGATGTTTCTGCACAAGTGCCGATGGAACATTGACATTTTGATACACTTAAAAACTCGCAAAACATTAAATAAATTTTTATTTCAGAGGCAGAAACAATTTAAAAAATTATCACATCTGAAATTTAGTGTCATTCACTTCACAAATGATGTTAAATTATGCGAAAGCACAGTCATTTTACGATTAACTAAATTATCAACAGAAAAAATGAGTTCAAAATTCAGTATTAAAATAGTATATTTAAATTCGTATGTATTTTTATAATTAAACATAATTAAACAGTTTCAGTGCTTTCCTTAAAAAAAAAAAAAAAAAAAAAAAAAAAAAAAAAAAAAACTCAGTTTTGTATCCCTGATTTTAATAGTTTTAAATCAATATGCACAAAATTTTTTCATACCACTAAAAAAATTATATGAAGTGCTAACACTAACAGAGATATCAAAAATTGAGATTATTTTGTTCTTTTTTATTTGTAATATGTTTAGCAGGAAATAAATGTTAATTCAAAGAACACTGCAATGGAAGTTCTCACATGTTCTATCAAACTTTTGTCAGTGATTTTAACTGAATTATCACCAGAAGAAATTTATTAATAAGCGAACACTACAACAACGTTTGCACCCTAACACGAAATCTTCGATGTTTGTTTACATCGCATATAAATTGTTAATCTTTGCCATAATTCACCGCGAAATATGATAAAAAGCCAAATATAGTAACCCAGCCAGAAGCCCGTGACGTCACGGTACACTTTTCCGTACACATTTGGCGTTTGTCTGTACATAATTGTGACGGACTAGGGTTCTTATGGTATTGCCAACAATGCTTATATAAAAAAAAAGATGAAGACAATTTAGGGTAATTGTTTAGTCAGGATGCCCGAATGTTAGCTGTTTCCACAGTTTACCGCCAGATGGCGTCATGACCATTCAAAGCATTTGTAGTAATAAAAAACGAGAGATAAAGGATGTAATAATGCAACAGACGATGTTAGTTACTCGTGCATGTGCAAGGATAGAATGAGGTGTTTTGATGCTGTTAGTTGTGAACGTGTGTCCTGATAAATAACTAATATATATCTATATCTATATCTATATCTATATATATATATACATAGTGGATAGTGGATATAAATGTAACAGAGAAATTATACGGTCAACAGATGCAACATCGTAAAGTAACTGATGTTTTATGTCAGGCTATTCTGTCGTTCAGTAGCTCTGAACATTTTCATTGAATTATCACTGTAGAGATTTTGCCCGTAATTAAATGTAACTTGTGGCAAATCCTCAAATAGACGTGTATGCGACTTGTCGCTAAGATGAAACAGAATTTAAGAAAGGTGTAAAAGACCCTTTTATTTAAAGATTAGAAAGCTGAACTTGCTTACAAGGCGAAGGCACACCTGCTCACAAAGTGGCCAGCATTTATGGCGTGAATTCAAAAGTAAAATTTTAAATTAGAACTAAATCTAAGTATTTATTAGCCAAAGGCTAAGCATAGAAATTTAAACACGGAAGTTGGCTCTTTAACCTACACCGGCGTGGCAGCACTATCGGCAAGAATAAAGCAACGCTTATCTTAGAATAATAAAACATAGCCTTCAGAAGAAGAACACGTTCTGGTTAAACAATCTATAACTGGTTAGACAAATAAAATTTACAAAGTAAAAAAGTTGCATTAAACATAAAATATTAAGGAAGGAAAGTTTATAGGTCGATGTAATACTGCAAGGGACTGATAGCTGCATAATCATATTAGTAGTAACCCCAGGACCTCAGCCGGCGGAAGTGACGTCATAGAAAAGGGGCGTGGCCTCCGACATCTTGATTTTCTCCGGAAGTGACAACACCAGCGCCATCTTG